TAGAAAGGTTCCCTCTTTCCCCTCCTGCAGGCTCAGCACTGCCCCTGTCCATCTATGATGACGAGGAACCCTTGATCAGTACCCACACACTCAAAGCTTTCTTCACCAGAACAGCCTCTGCAGCAAGCACTGCCTCAATGGCAGCCACCTCAATGGCTGTCCCCTGTAGTGCCAGTGCCACAGCGACCCTATGGCACCCTACAGACGCCAGCAATCACAGCAGATATAACCTCAGGCACCTACCTCCACTCCATCAAAGGCCATGTCTCTCTTGATAGATCCACTTATCAGGAGAAGGATGAACCAGGCTCAAGTGACAAGAAAACCTCTGCCTCCTCACCTTCACCAACACACATATCATCATCTTCCCCTGATGACACCCTGATGCCCCTTTCTCCCACAGTGGGAGATGTTTTCAATAGTTCCAAGAACTTTACAAGAGGGTGGCTGACATGCTGAAGGTCTCCCTAATAAGTCTTCCTGAAATCCAACACAAGTTAATTAGCATCCTGCATGCCTCTCCATCCACTAAGCTGGCACTACAGATGGACCCATCCCTCATGGATCCTGCCACAGTGATCTGGCAGATACCAGCGACAACTCCACCAGTCTGTAAGAGGTCAGACCGTAAATATTGTGTAACACCACAGGGTGCTGACTTTTTGTTCTCCCACCCATATCTTAATACCCTTGTAGTAGATGCAGTTAACCAAAGGGGAAAAGAGAATGCGGCCAGAACCACAACTTATGATAAGGAGTGGAAACGCCTGGGCCTCTTGGGGAGGAAAGCTTATTCCTCTGCTTCTTCTCAGTTCTGGATCTCAAACTACACTGCAATGCTCATAAAATATATGCACCACATTTTCAAGCAACTATCGCATTTTATTGGAAGCTTCCTGGATGAAAAAAGAGAGCAATTCAAAGATAATATAAATGAGGGCACCCTGATTTCATGCATGGATCTATAAGCTGCCTTGGACACGTCTGATACCGCATCCTGTTCTGTCGCGATGGCTGTCATAATGAGGATGCCCCCATGGCTTCACCTATACAGGTTTCCTCATGAAGTTCAAGCCACGGTGGAAGATCTCCCTTTCTAGGGCTCCAAGTTGTTTGTGGACACCACCAATGCATCTCTCCACTCATTTAAAGACTCTCATTCCACACTGAAAACACTTGGCATTCATGTCCCTGCAATGAAACACAAGCAGGGAAGATATTTTACTCAGAGATATAAACCAATACCTTTTAGTCAGCCACGGAGGCACAATGACAACAGAAGGAAGCAACATCAAACCAGACAGAGACAAACTCCTGACCTCTCAACCCTCAACCTCGGGACAAACATTTGGAAGTTCAGGTTGAGGATCTGGTAGCACCCTCTGTTTAAGACAGTCACATCCCTACCAACTATTCTGCAAATGTTTAGCACCCTTCTACCCCCAGTGGTCTTCTATTACAACAGACAGATGGGTATTGGACTTTATAAAGGACGGATAATGTATCCCACTTTGTCTGCCTCCCCTTTCCACCCTTCCTTCTTGTCCCTCTTCAGGGACCCATCTCACCAAAACATTCTCCTCTAGGAGCTCGACCACCTGCTCCAATTAGGGGCTATAGAACCAGAGTGCCTCACTGTTACAGAGGCAAAGGTTTTTACTTCCATTACTTTCTCACAACAAAAAAGTCAGGAGGATGGAGAACAAACCTTGATCTCAGGAGGCTCAATCGCTACATACAACTACAATGGTTCAAGATGGTCACCTTATCTACAATAATCCCTACCTTAAATGAAGGAGACTGGTTATCGACTCTCGACCTCCAGGATGCATACTTCCATGTTTCCATTCACCCAGCACACAGGAAGTACCTCAGATTCACGGTTTGCTACACAAACTTCCAATGCACAGTGCTGCTAATCAGACTCTCCACAGCTCCAAGGATCTTTTTGAAGGTGCTTGCAGTGGTCACCGCTCATCTCCGCAGACAAGGGATCTTTATATTTTCATGCCTCAATGACTGCCTGATAAGTGCACACACAAGTCAAAAAGCAGAAGATGCAGTTTTCCTAACCAAGACACTATTCCAGACCCTCAGCCTACAGATAAATCTGCTCAAGTGCAAACTACAACCAGCTCAGATAATAGATTTTATTGGAGCCCATCTCAGTTGCTGTGACGAGGTGCCCCCGTCCCCGTGCCCTCCCACGGACAACCCCGAGGTCCGGGGGGATGGAAGGGAGACCGGCACGCTCCCCTGGTGGTGTGGCACATGCGCCAAGGTCCGCGCACCGCATTTAAAGAGCGGGCAGATCAGCTGTTGGGGGGCGGAAGCAGCCAGGGACACGGAGCAGGTGCAAGGCTCCGGGAGAGGGGCCGGAGATGCCGAGCGGCTGGGAGAGCGGCCGGAGATGCCGAGCGGGCGGAGGGCGGCTGGAGGCACCGAGGCGAGGCAGCTGGAGGTGCTGGGTCAGCAGAGGCAGCCGGGGAGGTCGGCGGAAGGCGGGGAACTGAGGCGCCAGAGGAAGAGGGGTCCAGACCCCAGGACACGCACAGGACCTGAGGCCAGGGCAGCCGAAGATGACACCTCTTGGCAGCACTCCCAACAAACCCCAGAGGGGCCGTGAGTAACCCCACGGCGGGCGCCAAGACCTCCCCACCCCAAACGACTGGTGACTCTTCCCCAACCCTAGGGAAACATACGGCTTGCTGGGTGGTAGGTTGGTCTCTCATAAGTTCACTTGCGTAGACTGATACCTAACCCCCTTCACGGTACAAGCCCAGAGCAAAGGTAGGGGTGGATCCAAGTCCTTAGGGCCCTGGGCTGGGGCCCATGAGCGAGGGTGGGTCCGGGCTCCCCCTTCTCCCTCCACATTATCCCTTGTCGCCGTAACTAGGGTGTTGTGGCGGCGCTGTAAGAAGGGAATAGAAGTTTGAGGCTGATTCGAGGGAGGGGTGATGGTGATGCCGGTGATGAGCACCCGAGACAGACTGTAGGCGGTCCAGTAATGGGCTGAGTGAAGACAGTCAGTTGGGGCACTGAGGCACGGTGGGGGAGGCGGGCACAGGAGCGCCTCCTGACAATTAGACATAGATCTTTTTCTGGGGCAGAGAAGGAATTCAAGAGATGAGTGCATAGTAGTGACACTGCACATGCCATCTGCTCTGTGTGAGCAGCCTACCAAGGACACTGCTACCTACAATCTCCGACTAGTGGCACATCAGTGCCCAGTCACCTAAGGTGGATCACCCATAGGCACAACCATCTTGAAGAACCTCCATTACTGCACACGGTGAGTAACCCTCTCTTTTCCATCACATGGAAAGAGAGGGGGTTGATCAAAGGGACAACTATACTGCAGAATGACCACTGGGGGCAGTGAGCACAGCAGATAACTATACTGCAGAGTGACCACAGGGGAGCAGCTACACCAGAAAAGAGTGGCCAGATGGGGCTGGGACTTGCCATCTTGCCAGCCATCAGACAGGGTAAATTGTCCCCAGGCTCCAACCCCTTCCTCTGGCCCTCGGCCACATTGCCAGATAGGGTGGGGGGAGCGGGAGGCCCACTGCTATTGGCCCTGCTGTTGCAGCTCTTCTGAGATTATCTTTTTTTCCCTCAAGATAAAAGAGTGCACGTTGTTGAAATAACTTTACATCTTGTGATCCAATGTTTTTAAATCATTGGGATGCTTGGTGCAAGGTTTTTTAGTCTCATATGATTACAAAGTCATTGGATCAAGAAAAAATGTCTTTAATTTTATAAATTTATTTGAATATTTCACTACATAAAGTGCATTCCATGCCTTTCTTTAATATCGATATTTTGTCCAGCTAATGTCATACTAATTTTTTAAATCATTGTGATTATCACAGTTATTCTCATGTTTTCAATGGACATTGCAGACAAACATGCAGTCTGTATGGTATATTCCGACTCCTAGCTCCCTTCCTCCTGAGAGCAGAGTCTGTGGTAAAAGTGACGGATCATGTACCTTAATAAAAGTTTGCATCCAATATATTTTTTTACATTCTAGAGCTTCAGGGAGCTTCTCAACCAGCAATCAACCAGACACTCCCCACCCCCTTCCCCTTCTCTTGCAATAGGTTAGTAGCTAGGGAAAATCCTTAAATTAGGCCCTTAAGGAAATTGCTATATATAGTTGATTAGAAGCCACATAATGTACTAAATTTAATTATTTCCCAATACAGCTTGAAATCAAGGATGACCAAAAAATGAGGACACCCCATCGAAGTAAAAATACTCTCCTCTATAGCTTGGATAGTAAAACTACATGGTATAAATCTATTTATTAATTAATTGTGACTGCTAAATTAAGATATATTTTAAATCACAGATGGACTAATGTTTTGACTTAATCAACAAACCCACGATGATTGGCATGAGAGAACGTTCCTGTGTGTACTTTCACATCCCTTTCCTTACATTTTTGCATAATGTTGAACTATCACTTTTGAGCTGATTAACTAACTTAGCTTGTGTGGTGGCTGCACAATGAACATCACTATACCAGACAAAGGAAGCTGATTAGTATCTAATCTATTAGAAGGAGGTCCAAACTGGGGCTTAAAAAGTCTCCCTGAAGATGGTTCCACACTAGAAGCATCTCCAGAATAAGGACCTTAGACATAAAAACTCCTAAAAATTTAACTATAGATTCACAGCTGGGACTTGCTCAATAATAACAGTACTATCTAGTATCATATCCCATTTGTGATGATTCAGTCTTTTCAAAAGTTACAATATCATGCTCTGAATAACCCTTCCTGAGGACATCACTTGTCTCACTTGAAAATAACGTTCTATAGTGTATGTTTTAGGTACTTAGATTTACAGTAAATATCTTATTAGTATTGCTGTAGTATTAGAGCACTTAGTCTTTCATGTATTTATCCTCACAACATCTTTGTGATGTTGTGATATAGAAGTAGTATTAGCCTCATCACTGTGATGGGTTGGATACAGAGATCTCCTTGGGGCTGTCCCCTAGTGTGCTGATCAAGCCACTGATGCCTGCCTTACTGCTCTCTGGGGCTCCCTAACAGCCTGTCCTGCTGGGTCAGAAGTTCTGGTCTCCCCCAGATAAGGCATAGAGTAGGGGTTACCACCCCCCAAGAGGCCAACACAGACAGTGCACCAGATCAGCTCTGGGAGGGCTTGGCAATTTCAGCTCAGCACCCATGAACACGGCCTCCCAAAAGAATCAAAACCCCAAGTAAATCCGTTGTCTTCTGTATAAAAGTTCTATACAGAGAAAGCTTATAAGATGCCCACCCGCTTTATCAATGAAAAGGAGATATGCACAGTAGTTGCTCCCCCCTCCTGGTAACAATTATTTACACTGGGCTTCATAGTAAACAAAAGTATTTTATTAAGTGTAAAAAGTAGGATTTAAGTGATTGCAAGTGAAAACAAATCAAAATTACTAAGTTAAAATAAACAAAAGATGCCAGCTAATTCTAATATACTAAGAAACTTGTTACATGCAATTTTTTACCCTAGACAGTTGTTCTCATCTCATGTAAAATCCTTCAAGTCAGTTGATCTTTACTCTGACTTGGCGCTACAGCTTTTTCCAAAGTTCTTTAGAGTCCTTTGTTTTCAGGTTTCACGTGTATCCTCTTAGGGTAGATGAGGCAGTTTCAAAGGCCAGCTGAAAACAAAGATCTGATTGCTTTCCATTCTTTAAATAGACTTTCTCCCAGTGTAGGAATCCTTTGTTCAATCTCTCCATCCCCATGGAAAAATACAAGATTCAAGATGGATTCTAGTACCAGGTGGTGTGGTCACATGTCTTTTAGGACCAAGCACAGTTTGGGCTTAAAGGACAAACAGGACCATTCACATGTCATTGTTCTGAGTACTGAGTCGTTAAGTTCCTAAATTACCACTCATGGCCCTCATTAGCGCATTTAGAAATAAAACCAGATTCACACTTCATAAATCTAACTTCACACACAAGAATGATAAATGCACAAAAATGGGATATACAGATTCAGCAGATTGTTACTTTAAAATTGATATGTTACATGATATGTTTTGCATCTAAAGCATCTTTGAGTTATGCATATTCATATTCATAAGACAATTTTCATAAAGCATGGGGTCTGCATTATAGTCATTATTTTACTAATGGAAAACCTGAGATACAGAGGCACATTTAAGTAACTTGCCAGAGTCACGCAGGCAGCCTGTGGCAGAGCCTGGAATTTCACCCAGAATGCCAAAGTCGTAGTCTAGTCCAATGGCCCACAGGCCAGATGCAGTTTGCCAGGTTCAGCCCCTGGTGGACTGCTGCTGTTCTATGTACCTGTGCAGCCGCAGATACAACCACTTGCAGCTCCCGTTGGCCATGGTTCACTGTTCCTGGCCAATGGGAGCTATGGGAAAAGGCATGCTGATCCACACCACTTCCTACAGCACCCATTGGCTGGGAACAGCAATCTGTAGCCAATGGAAGCTGCAAGCACCTGTACCTGCAGCTGCACAAGTAAATAAAGTGCCAGAGGTCAACTAGGAGCTAACCCTGGCAAACTGCCTTTGTTTTATTGCTCACCTCTGGTCTAGTCCCTAACATCCGGACCATCTTTCCTATTGCACCGAGATTGCCAGTCACAGTCTAGTCCCTAATATCTGGACCATTTTTCCTTTTCATATTTATAGCCTTTAAAAATAAGCATATACAGCCAACCAGTGACCTAGTAAGTGAGAGAAATGTGTGTCTAAAATATTCCAGTACTACATTGTGCCCTTAGTTTTACAAAGTGGGCAGGATTTAAAATCAGTACTCAAGAATACATGCCCGTTAATTAAGACCTTCACAAAAACCATTTATTGTAATCTGGTGATTTTGCTGAGGGGAAATCTTTACTCAGGCAAAATTTATTGGAGTATAAACAATGTCCAATTCTAAAAGCTAATTAAACAGCAGGTCTAAGGTAATAGAGAGTTTTGCCTGCATGACTGGGGCATAAGGTTTATAATCCATGCCATTATGAGACAAAAGCGTCAAGAACAAATATTTTGTCTATTCAAAAAAAGTCAATTATGTCATTCTTTAAGTAATAACATGTTCCTGAGGTCAAAGAGGTATTATTTAAAACAATCTAACCACTTCTCTTTAGTGCTTGAAGGTTGACAGCCATTCAATGTCGATTAAGCAACTGACAGCAGTAGAACCAGCCAGAATAGAGAAGATTACACCCCAGCATGCAACACCAGACTGGAGCAAATATCTTATTAAATTATGACCCATTCTTCTGAAGTTCTCAGCACCCTTACTTCCATTGACTTTGGTGAGCACAGAATCTTAAGGTATCCGAGCCTAGGAGTTCATCTTTTGTTTTACCTTAAGTTAATTGACAAGATCAGTTGAAGACAAGTAAACCTGATTAAAAAAATACATATATTTTGTAGTTTATGAAACTGGAACAAATTAGAGGACAAATCAAACCTCTGTGCAGAAATAGCCAGAGAGGCACCCAGAAACTTCAGGATTAACCTTGTAGAGTGTCCTCAGAATTATTACAACAGAATAGAGCCAAGGGGTCCATCTGGTAGGTTAAAAGCCAGAGCCTCTGCACCAGCTATGAGACCCTGTGACTCTGCCCTTAGTTCCCAGAAGCACAGTGCACTGGAACCTTGTTGCCAGGGTCATTCCAGTTGGTAACTCCCCAGAGCAAAGGAACCTTTACTATTTTAACTTGCTTCTTGCTTGTGCCTTGGGTGCTTCTTGTTTGTCCCTTGGTAGGAGTCCTTGACTATTCCTTTATTGGTCCATGCCTATCAGCTCACAATCCCCTTCCCTCTCATGGATTCTTGAATACACTAATATTTCTCTGTGGAATTCAGGGGACCAGAAGAATAGTCTTACAGAGATGGCTGATACCCCCACTCCTCTGTTTGGACAGGGAGATCTCTGTCCATGGAGGAGGACCCTTCAGACTGTGTTTTAGGGCACACCTACCTCCTCTTTCAAAGTGTCCTGCTCCAACTGAAGCCAATGAAAGCTCTTCTGGTTTTAGTGTGAATCATACTGAAACCTACCTTTGTTTTATAAACTGGTTTTGCTGACAGTACAGAGAATAAAGTATGTTTGTTGTAACTGCCAACATTGCCCCTATCACGGGCATCACTCATTGTGAGGGCCTCGTCCTACTGGCTGCTTGTGGGAATCAGCTCTTTCCAGGTCCAATGTCCCATGTGCTGCTCACAGGCTCTCTTTCCCACAGTCTCTTCAACTCAGGGTGCTCCCTCTTCAGGACTTGACCCTCTGGCCAGGTAACTGCAGGTAACTGTTTTCCTTCTCCAGTGTATCAAAGTCTTTCTTCAGCAGTCTTGGACAGCATTCTCATTCACTGCCTCTATGGTGCCACCTCCCCAGTGGTTGATAGGAAACCCAGGGCCCACTCTCTATTCTGGGCTCAAACTCACAGACCCTGTGTTCAGCCATCAAGGTCTGTTCCCTCTTGGGTCTTACTGCTTTTTCTTGAGCCTCTTCCATACCTTGTGGATTTCTCCCCTTCTCTGGATTTCTCAGCCTCACAACTCCTTTCTCCCTGGAAGTAACTGTAGGCTACCATCTTCCACAGCCCCAAATCCAACTCCCTTTTCCTAGCGACTGACTACAGCCAGCTTCTTTACAGCCCCTTTTTACTTTCAGCTCTCTGGCTTTATATACCCCTGGGGGAATTCTTTACCATTGCTCATGCACAGAATTCATGTCGCCCACAGATTTCTTTGCTTCCCTGCAGAAAAATGACTTTCTGATGGGGAAGCAAAGGGAAACTGCAAGAACAGTCATGTACCACTTCCTAGCAATGCAAGTGCATCATTTCAGGCAGCTGGCAAAGAGGTAAATTACCACAGGGTTAGGGACCACCCCAGCCAGTTATTCCTACCCTGAACGGAGATCAACTCTGCTAATCCCAGCCAGGCTTGAGGCAGGAGAGGACAGGGATTCCTTTTTCCCTGCAAGGAGTGGTTAAGTCTGTGTCAGACTAACCCCTAGAAACCTTCCCCAACTGCAGGAAGCTCAGCAGCCTCCCCTGCTTCCCACCCTGACACCCCTGCCAAGCCTCAACCAGCACATCCAGAATCTAGAACTCCCTTAACCCTCTATACCCAAACCCCATCCTACAACACCTCAACTAATATACCCAGACTCCTATGCACTCAGACCCCTTCCCACTGAGTTTTCTATACTCAAACTCCCACTCTGATTAAGAGGTTTCCCTCTACTTTTTTTTCCATCTGTGGGTGGAATAAATTTTGTTATGTGCACCAGGGCATGTGTAGATGTACACCAGCAAAAGAAACACATGCGCCCTCTGCTAATCAGCTAGACAGCACCTGAATCTCTCCTAGGCAGCCACTCAAGCCCTCAGCTTATAGAGAATACTGCTGATGAGCTCCATCCCCTGCACCACGGGAAGCTTCCACATCCAGACCCGATGCCACTGACCCCCAACTAGCTGCACACAGATTCCTACCCTACCAAGCCCCCCTCACCCAGCACCCAGACTCCTCCACTGAGACACAACAACCATCAGTTGGAGGCACCTGCAGAGTCCCACTGCCTCTGCACCTAGAACCTATGCAACAAGCCTGTGTGCATCCAGATCTCCCCACACCTAGACCCTCAACTGAGGTGCCTTTACCCAGATTGTCCCATACAGAATCCCCACACCTGGATCCCCCCACACTGAGCCCCTAAATACTTGGATCCTGCCTGGTTAAGCCAGTCTGCCCCACACATTGTGTGCCTGGCAGAGAGGGGCTGGGTATAAGAGTGTTTCTGGGGCACCTTCATATAGCCCATGGCCTGTGCTTTCCTCTGCCATGCTGGAGCCTCTGCATTTATTTATTGACAAATAAAGTTTGCAGAATTTTAAAATACTGCACATTGAATTTAATTTTTTGGTGCAGAATTCCCTCAAGAGTACTTTATAGAAGCTCTGCCTGTTCTCCCACAGGTAAGCTTCTCCTAATTAGGGCTTCCTCTCAGCATTCATTCTCTCAGCTTGTAGCATATAAGTGAATTGGCCCATCAGACCTTCACTGACCCCTTTAGGACAAGTATGGGGACACCACTTAATAGATCTTCAAGTGACTTCAGTTCTATGAGGTGGCTGTATATTGAGCAATGGTATATAAATGTACTTAAATCCTATTTTAAATCCTAAAAAGATATCCTTTTGAAATATACCCACTTTTCTGAGAGAACAAATTTCTGCCACAATCCAAGTAGAAAAGCTAGCTTCAAAAGTAGGATTATTACAGCTGTATCCTTTAACAATATTTCATACCATGTAGTAAGTATATAAATGTACTCAAACCTTAAACATTTTACTATAATTTTTAACTTTTTAACAATTTCATTTACTGCATTTTAGATTCAAAAGTTGCAAGAACAGTAACTTCAAAAGCACAATACAACCAAAAGACTATACAGAATAAAAGAACAAATGCAAAGAGGATCAAGACCTTTCAGTGAGATCAGCTATTAGCTAATTAAATATGTGAATAAAATACATCATGTTAAACAGAAGCACTATTGGTGATGGGTAATCTATTAGGCAAACAAATGGTAGTGAAATTTTTTTCACTTTAGAGAGAAACATTATTGATCTTAATATGATTCACTGTGACATAAATGAGATTAAATAAATCAATGTTAATTAAAGGACCTTGTCAATCTGATATTTTTTAAAATCTAGTTTCTAATATATCACCTCTTACAAAGCATGACCTGAGTTTTTTTTTAAATATTCCTTTAAAATGTACTTGTTCTTCTGCCCTCTTGTGTGTATTAATAATTGTCTTTTCAGCAAAGGAGGAGCAGATTAATTAAGGCTCCAATCCCGCATCAAGTTCCACTACTGCAGACTGCTACACCTCGGTAGAGGGCCAATAATTTTCAGGGCCTAGAAACCTGAGCCACAAAGGGATAGGTGCCCAAGTACCGGTTTAAGGTACCACTGGATATGTCTATACTGGGATAAAAAAAACCACAACTGGTCCAGATCAGCTGACTTAGGCGGATGGGGTTTGGGCTCTGGGACTGAAAAATTGCTGCGTATTCGGTCTCAGGCTGGAGCAAGGCTATGGAACTATTTAAGGATGAAGGTTAAAGGTATAAAGGTTCTCTGAAAACCTATAATACCTGCCTCTGAGAATACATGCTACTCACTCAGGCTATGTCTACACTACAGAGTTTTTTCAGAAAAACAGCTGTTTTTCTGAAAAAACTTCAGTTATATCATACTGCAATCGCGTTCTTTTGAAAAAAAAATCAAAAGAACAGTGTGATTTTTCTAACATTGGTAAACCTCTTTCTATGAGGAAGAAGTCTTTTTCCAAAAGAGCTCTTTCAGAAAAAGGCACGTGTGGATGGGGAAGAGGGAGTTCTTTTGAAAGAAGAGGAAAGAGGAAAAAGCACAGGTGTCCTGGTGGCCACTCCATCCATAGTAATCACAGCTTAAATGCAAGAGAGCGTCCCTTCAGTGTGGACGCTATCTTTCAAAAAAGCAGATTGCTTTTTCAGTGTGCTTTGGCAGTGTGGACGCTCTCTTTTGGAAGAAGTTTTTTTGGAAGATCTCTTCCAGAAAAGCTTCTTCTGAAAGAAGCCTGCAGTCTTAGATGTAGCCTCATTCTAGGCATCTGGACACCTATTTCATCCCTACGTACCAGCCTGATCTTCAAACCAGGCAAAGACGAGCAAAGGAAGATAGGCAGAGAGACTGATGCCAGTCTTCCACATAGAGCCTAATCTAGTATGAATGCTCAAAGGAGGAAGCTCTTCCTTATAACCTTTGACCCAGTAGTTAAGATATTCATCTCAGATATAGGAGATCCCTTTGCATTATTGATGAAGCTTCTCACCTAGCATGCCAGCTTTTTAAGTTCCTATTCTTTGGTGTCTGTGTCTCCCTGATCACTGTGTAGGAAGCCTAGTCATGGAACTCAGACATTATGAATCCCATTGTTGTTCCAGTGATTTTTTTAGACACACAACATTTCCTAAGTCCCTTTGTGGAACCAGTCATAAAAGCATTAGGTCTATATTAGACCAGGAAGGTCAACTTAAGGTACGCAACTCCATCTCACCTTAAATCGAGTCATGGTGGCGTCCAGACAGTGGGAGGCCGAGGGGAGCAAATGCTCCTGTCGGCTTCCCTTACTCCTCACGGAAGGAAGAGTATAGGATGCCAGTGGGAACAGCCCTCAGAATTCGATTTACAGGTCTATATTAGACCCGCTAAATCGAATGCTAGAAGATCGACCTCCGGAGTGTTGATTTTCTCGTAAGTATAGACATGCCCTAAGAGAGCACTGAAACCGACTATACTCAAAGGTCAGACAAGTGCATTTACAAAAATAGATTTTTTTCCCTCTGTAATTAGTCTTTCATTTATAGCAAGCTTATACCTTACCTGCAAGAACATAATTTTCTGACAGCAATGCAACTTTCTAGTATGTTGCAAATGAAATGAGATTTCCAGATTAAGCAGAATTCTCTGATTTTTCCCTCTGTTTTTCTAAGAAGAAGTCATTGTAAATCTGTTAGCAAGACTTTAGATGTGGGAGGATGTTTGGATTTCCGGCATATTGCTACACAGCTCTTGGCCACCGGCAAAGAAATTCATTGAAATATCACATATGTGTTTTAAAAAATTAAACCTTTAGACTAGTTTCAGGATTGTTAATTCTAGATAATTAATCAACAACTTTTCTCCAGAATACGAACAAGTGGGGTAGCTGAAAACACTTATTATAAAGATGTCCTAATGGACCGCATGTCTTGGATAGTGGCTTTCAGATGATGTGAAGCTGTGCCAAGAGAAGTAAAATAAATCTTGTGTAGTATGCTGAACAATAGGAGTCTAGAGTTCTTGATATGAATCAGCTCATTGTTCCCTAACTTTAATATTTCTTTTCTGGTCTAGTTTTAACAGTTGTTTATACTCTAAAGCTTTTATATTAGCTTTATCTTTTAAGTAAATCCTAACATCTTTTTCTATTCCATATGTTCTCCATATACAAACATCTCTCCAATAAATCAGATTGCATATGCTTCTATAATTTGTTAATTTTTTTATACATGCACATATATGTATCCCTTCAGTTCATAAGCTCATTTTTCCAAGTCATCCATGTAACCACTCCCACCATTTCCCTTCTATTCTGGTAACAACTGTAATTATGAAAGGGCGAATTCATAACTTCAGGATTATTCATAAGTATATCATGAAATGATGATTTTACCTGGATTCCATTAAATTTTAAAACTAAAATGTAACAAACTAGGTTTGCCAATTTAGAAGAAAATCCAATAGAATAACCCCTTTTATTGAATCTATGGAACGTTAGCTTACTAGTTTAATGCAGTGTTTTTTGGGGTCAACTTTTCACTTGAACGGTATTTCTCAAGTCAGGACACTTGCTTTTTTTTAATCAACCAACAATTTATTAATTTACCAAGAACTACATTTACATATAATTAACAGATCACCACTCAAATATAGACACAACTAGTTTTGTGTACTACACACACAATCACAGACTTGAGTTGAAGCTCAATAGTTATATCAAAGACCAATGCAAATATCCAAGATTTCTTATTTACTCATGATCAACAATTCTCCATTCTTTCGTACCTAACATATTCATCACACTTCCACGGATGTGCTTGTCTTGAAGGTGCTTTGAAGAGTGTTATTACTTCTCTTTCACTGGATTGGTCCAAAAGGTACACATTTAGGCTGCGTCTAGAATGGCAAGTTTTTCCGCAAAAGCACTTGCTTTTGCAGAAAAACTTGCCAGCTGTCTATACTGGCCGCTTGAATTTCCGCAAGGACATTGACGATCTCATGTAAGATTGTCAGTGTTCTTGAGGAAATACTATGCTGCTCCCGTACGGGCAAAAGCCCTCTTGAGCAAATGCTTTTGCGCAAGAGGGCCAGTATAGACAACGCAGTATTGTTTTGCGCAAAAAAGCCCCGATTGCGAAAATGGCGATCGGGGCTTTCTTGTGCAAAACCGCATCTAGATTGGCACAGATGTTTTTTCGCAAAAAGTGCTTTTGCGGAAAAGCGTCCGTGCCAATCTAGACGCTCTTTTCCGCAAATGCTTTTAATGGAAAAATGTTTCCATTAAAAGCATTTTCGGAAAATCATGCCAGTCTAGACGTAGCCTTAGAGTATTAAAAACAGATGCTTAAAACAATCCTTTTCAATCTCTCTTAGGCCAGTTTGCTTGGATTTATGAAAGTATTAGAATCTGAAGTATAATAACTTGAGTGAGTTAGGGTATGTCTACACTACCACCCTAGTTCGAACTAGGGTGGTAATGTAGGCAACCGGAATTGCAAATGAAGCCTGGGATTTGAATTTCCCGGGCCGGACTCCGTGCCGCACGGCTACACGCGGCACGGACTAGGTAGTTCGGACTAGGCTTCCTATTCCGAACTACCGCTACTCCTCGTTTCACCAGGAGTAACGGTAGTTTGGAATAGGAAGCCTAGTCCGAACTACCTAGTCTGTGCCGTGTCTAGCCGCACGGCACGGAGTCCGCACTAGCGGACATTTAAAAATGGCGAGGCCGGCGAGATGCAAATGAAGTCTGGGAAATTCAAATCCCAGGCTTCATTTGCAACTCCGGTTGCCTACATTACCACCCTAGTTCGAACTAGGGTGGTAGTGTAGACATACCCGTAATGATATTAAAGAACAGAAGGGGAAATACAGTCTTTGAAATGTAATCTCATCACTTATTTTCCTCTTACTACTCAGATGAGGTACAATACTTTCCACATGGCTGGTCTGGGCATTGGTCACACTTAGGATGCTTCAGTTTCTTGTGTTGAATTCAGTCAACTCCCACAAGCTTATGGTGACCTCATTTTCACCATACATTTATATTCCCTAATTTCAGGACTCATTGTCTGGGTCCTCCCTATTATTCCTATTGAACACATGCCAAGGTTTTAGTTTTCAATTTCTTTCCTGTTTCCATTGCTCTCCCATATATGGAAATGATGTGTAAAAAATTCTTTCCCAATCCGTTTCTTATTGGAGGCTGTTTATGTTTGATTAATGTCAAAGATCGTTTTTCTTTATTAGTCCCTCCTATCAATTGGAATCCACTCCCTCCTTTTAAGCAATTTCTCAAAATATTTAAAACTATTCCTTGGTTTATATCTGTAAACATTTCTCCTTCCTTATGCCAGACAATTCCTATTACTTCTAGAGTGCAACAGCTATTTACAATGAAAACCAACAAAATCTTTATCATCTTCTAAATTTGGAGGATTCATTCCATACATTCTTCAGTTATACATAACCATTTCACATAATTTAGGACTTACATTAGAAAGAGATCCAATATCTTCCTTTGTTGTTTGCAGTGTTCTTGTAGCTATGTTGGTCCCAGTACATGAGACAAGGTATGTAAGGTAATAACTTTTACTGGAAATAGGTCTAGTAAAAGATATTACTTCACCTATCTTGTCTTTCTGTTACAGGGATGGGCAATAAAATGGCAGTGGTTCACCAGGGATGGGCCCTGGCAGGCTGCCGCTGATATATTTGCCTGTGCCTCTGCAGCTCCCATTGGCTGCAGATCACCATTCCTGGGTAACGGGA